AAGTAATGCCCCACTTACGACTTTTACTTTTCTCTCTTTCTCCTGCCCTTTTTTTCCCCTCTCCTTGCCTGAAGTTTCTCCTCACTTGCTGGAAATTTAGTAGGCTTCATTTTGGTGTAGAGATTTTTTAGGAAACTACTCATTATTTTCAAACCACATGCTCAGAAAGGTAGGTGGGTAATGGAACAAGATTTTCGTGCAGATTTTCAGGTCAAAGTTACATGGTTTTTTGGCTATTTCTCCAATCTCCTTCACTCAATTGCGCTCATTCTGGTATCGTTTGTAAGATATTTTCAACCTGTTCAAGTACGTGCTCAGATTTGTACTCCACGGTTCAAAGTGATGACGTCACAAGGCGTAGAAAGGGTGTGGGTCCCCATGGGCGCATACGGGCGCACTGGACGTCAATAGGTTAAATACAAAGAGGATGCAGAAAGTGAGTAATTTCTGGTTAACCCCCTGTAATTTGGAATTTTAGAGCGTCATCCATGACTTTCAAATTAGAATTAAAACTACCAAATTGAATTTGTACATATCTCAGACTTTAAATTTTTCACAGAAATGCGAAAATAAATGTAGCACATGCTTTTTTCCATTTTCTCTTGTATTATTCATCTAAAACTATGTAGAAAACACTTGAAGAGATATATTATTAATTCAACTGTTAGAAATAATGTTCTCATTAGAAGATGATGATACTGAAAGAAAACAAGCAAGTATATGCCGTTATATGCACGTACACGTACCTCCATAGTGAGGCCAGTCTTCAAACACAAAAGGGTTACCCAACAGGTTGGATACAACAGAAGCTGCCATAACACAAGCAAAATTCTTCCATGAATCGTTTTTAGATCCACTGCCATGTATAAACTCACGAACACCTTTAACGACAAGCCACTCCATCTTCATGTCATGAGCTGCTGCAAACAGGCCTGAGGTAGACAAATGTAAAACAAAAAGTTATTAGAATCGGAACGTATTAAGGCAGTCATGCAACAAGGAGTTCCCCATAATAAAAGTATACCAAACAAGCTTCGTTTTTCTTGAAAATGTTGTTTTCTCTTGATTTGTTAGGGTATAAAAGGAGAACGAGTCCTCATGAAGAGTGTAATGAAAGGGCAGGGTGACTTTTTGGTAAGAAGTGGTATATCAGTGTATCAGGATTTCGAATTTAGCGAGGAGTTTCCTCAAGCGAAATTCGTGAGTCTAGCAACCACAAACCTGCCGTAGCTCGGAGGAAAGGCTTAGGAATATAAATTTGAAGGGTAAACTGTGATACAAATTACTGCTGAATACCTGTAGGGGCAATTCACAATTTGCAGTAGACCTGCATGTTTGGAAAGAA